TGGCCACCACGATAATAAATTGTCCAACATTTTTAAAAATATCTATTTGGAATGTATAATGGGGTAATCACTTTTAGGTTTTTAATACGTTATTTGTGAATTCGAACTTGAAAATGAAATTAGTTAAAAAAAGAAAGGAAAAAGAAGAGTTTTCATTTAAAAATCGCTAAAACTACCTTTACTACTTCTTTACACGAAAACAAAGAGTTTTCAAATTCATCTACTGAAGAAAAAGTCTTACATGGTCAATGACACCTATTAAAAATAGCTTTAAAAACATAACGCTTTAAAAAGATTTGTAAAATTCGTAATTAGTACGTTTCAACTTTTTTCAATGTTTGACAGACGTCCTTATTTTAATTTTTAGTTTAAGTTTGTGCATTAAGGCCAGAACAAACAAACAAACAAAAATCTATAAAAATAAACTTATTTTATGAATAATTAAAATGAAAAAGAAGCAGAAAAGAATTAAAAAAAATGATTTTCCTGTTCTGTACCTTTCTCTAAAAAATAAATAAAAACAAATTACTTTTTTAAAAAAATCTAAACATATTATTCCAAATAGTTTTTTTGCTGTTTTAAAAATTGATCTATTTCAAACAGAATATTTCCCAAGGGCCAAATATTTTCTTTGAAAGAATATATAAAAGAAAAAAAAAAGTCATTTTATATTTAAAATTTCTCTATGTCATTCTTTGTAATAAATTTGAACTTATTGTTTTTAAACTTCTTACTAAAAAAGAAAGTTTTAAAAAATCAGTTAATTTTTTAAATTTTAGAATGTTGAATCTGTTTTTTTATTTTTTAGATTGTTATCACTCGGTTAGGTCGTTCCAACCATTCATCATAAAAACTGATGGAAAAAACAATTAAAAAAATTTGAATTAAAAAATAAAAATTAAAAAATAAAATAGAAGCTTGTTAAAAATTAAAACCTTGAAACAAAACAAGAACTCTAAAAGTACAAGATTTGATTTTTTCTATTAAATAAAATAAAAAACAGTTTTGTTTGATGAAAGAATAAATATATAATTTATTTTTAAATCATTTCCATTTAAGGTAAAAAACAGTTTTTCATCTTCAATAAATAGCTTTTTTTTCAGAAAGGATTTTGAAAACAAAAAGTAACACAATAATAACCTCCACTTGAATAACTTATTTAAATGACCTCTTTCTACTTTTTCCTACCTGACTTGTTTCATTTACTCTCAATTTACCTGGTAGTATTTCATATATATTGGAGTGGGGAGAGTAACGGACCTACACCATCGTCTTCTGCTACAATAGGAGTCAACCCAACTTTATGACGTTTACATATTTGAATCGGACAACTAAATATAGCAGTTCATTTTTTTTTAGAAAGTTTTCATTTTATGTTCCTAGTTAAAAAAATGTTGGATTTCTTATTTTTCTTGTGAAATAAATTGAACGAAGATTGTTCGTTCATTCGTAATTTGTACGTTTATATCTTCTTAAACTTCAGTTGGCAATTAATGTTATATTGCTATGTTATCAACCGAACCTAATCACAAGTGCTATTTTTTTAATTTTAGAAAACAAGTTTTTATGGTATTAAAAAAGAATCGATGAACGAGATTACCGTTTGCTGAACAAGAAAAAATAATTGCAATTATTTTCTGTGTTACGGCTCTTTATTTTTCCCACTTTTCAACATTTAATTTTCCTTGTTTAAAAGGTTTCTTTCGCTCTTAGGCTTCAAAACAAATAATCTTTTTGTTTGTGCCTTTTTTAAGTGGAACAATTTTCTAAGTTACTAAACTAATCTCAGTAATCTGTTTTAAAAGTTGAGTTAAGAAGTTGGACCTTTTCACTTAATTTCGGTTATTAGTTTATAAATTACTTTAAAAATAAATTTTGTTTGACTATAAGAACATTGTGTAAAGCAAATTATTTTAAATTATATTGAGTAATAAAAAATATTTAGCAAAATTTAAATTATTTTGCAAAAATGTTGTAAACAAACCCTGAACAAATAACAAGAAAAAAAAGTAAACTCAAGACAAGAGTAAGACAAATTAAATTTTCAGTTGTTTATTGTACAAGGTATTATCTTCTTACAGTGATAAGTATTTTTTTTTTTTTTTCAGATTTTTAAGGTTGAAAAATGAAAATTAATGCTTAGGTTAACTTAAGAAAGCATTGATTTGGGTTCCAAAAGGAAAATGCTTTTTGTTTTGGTTGGGGGATTTTGAGAAGAGCCAAATTTAGATTTACCAACTTTTTTCTTAACATTGTAAACAGTTGTAAACTAAACAGAAAATAAAAGCAGTTTTCTTAAGTTAAAAAGAAGTCATGAAGCCCGCAGTAAAAAAATTATTTGACCCTGTATTTAGCAAACTTTCAGTGACAATCTGTACACTGTAAGTGTGAAGTATTGATTAAAACAAAAAAAAACGGTGCGACTAGATAATTCTCTATGTATTACTCAGGCGCTTCATCCACAATAAAAGATTTTAAAGTATATCACGGGGTAATTATTCTGTTTTGATTACTAATTCAAAGAAGAATCGCTGAATTGAGTATTTTTGAGTATTTTTAAAAAGTTTGAAATGTAAAATCAGTTAACAATCCCCTCCCGATTTCACTTGCTTGTACTTCTAAGTTTTTTCTTTTGGTCATCAATAATGTGTAAAAACATTATAAATTTTCTTTTGGCATGTATGTGACATACATGCCAAAAGAAAATTTATAATTCTTCCTTACACAGTACACTGATTATTATCATTTGGTCTGTTTTTCATTTAAAATGTACCGATGATATTAAGTTGTTATCGGTATATATTATTACCTCTCCCTCTCCCTATATATCTATATATATATAGAGAGAGAGAGTCCGTCGCAGTCATCGTCCTAACTTTCATTGTGGATCGTCCTTGTAGTGGTTGCAGGTGTAAGTGACGAGCACCTGACAACACGCATGCGTACCCCAGGAATTGTCAATGACGAGGTTTTGAAGTGGCCTCTGCATCCGGTCTTTGGGTTACTTCTTTTGGAATCAGTGCACATTTTTTGGGTTCGCACCTGTATACCGGAGATAAGAAAGGAATGATTTCGTTTGTACTGCATTTTCTTCAAGCAGTGTTTTTTTTTCTCCTCTAGTTCACTTTCTTTTTATTGCAAAAATCAATGTAATGTCCCTCGTTTTGTGTCCATGACGTTGTTGTCGTCGTAACGGTGGTCGTTCACAGCTGAAGGTAGGCACAATAACAGTAATAACACTCTTCCTCACCAACCACTTTTTTTTAATAAACACTATACGTTTTCTAAATATCTTATCGGGGCATTTATAATTTTCGCCTTTTTAAACAAACTCAAAAAGGGCGTTTATATATGTTAAAGAAAGGTCATGGTCATTCATACCTTTCTTTAAAAAAAAGCTTTCTCTACTCCTCCTTTCTTTGTCCTATTCTCCATAGATCTGAAACATGTGGAATGCTAACCACTTCTCCGGCTTTTTATACTACAACCATTATTTGTAGCGGTAATATTTACATCTAGTAGCAGTTTCCATGTAGTCGAATAATTTTTCTACTGTTCTCTACTGACTAAGACAGACAAAAAAAAGTAAAACAACACTACCTGAACCTTCGTTTGCCGGTGACAATCACTTTTTAATTCTCTTCCTGAAAATTTCGTTTATCTGCTTTCTTTTTCTTTTTTTCTTACTGCTGAGAGGTCGTTAATAACTAGAATTAGTTCGTTTCTTCTCATTGAAGCCTTTTAGGCGGGGGTTATATGATATTGTCATTGGCGATCTCTTGCCTCAGTGTTGGGCTAGCCATCTTAAAAACAAAATGAATTATTACGGTTATTACCCAATTCATTTTGTAAAACACTTTGTATTTCTCAAGCTTTTATTCCACAACACTAACAACGATCAAATAGTGTTTGTGTTTGATAATATATATACTGCTGGTTTCCTACAACATTAACAATTGATACTACTACTGCTAAATGTAAAAGTACTACTACTTTTAAAATTACTACTCTATTTCCTTACTTCTTTAAAGAGTACGTGTGTGTATGTGTGAATGTGCACCTGTGTGCTACAGTGTGCAGGGCTTGCTCCTGGCTGTGTAATATTTGTTTCCTTTATTTATTCTTATCATTGATGTGTCCTGAATGGTGTCTTTCAGTAGTACTATGCGGGAGGTGTTACCATTGGATTTTCACTGTTATTTCAACTACAGGACCACATTTCACTATTGTCACTGTCATTGGAGTCCGCGACGTCGTCACATTCTTCTAAATACTATCCCACCACATCGCCGACCCCCACCTGTCTATGGATTATCATTCTCATTATCGTCATCGCCAACATCGTTACCAGATCGTAACATACTGGAATCAGTATGTAGCAATTGCCGACAAATAATTTATAATCCATGATTGAAAATAAAATTAAAAAATGTAATATAAAAAAAACAAAAAGTAAAAACGCTTGGATAACTCGATGCTGGAGAAATTACCAACTTTCATTTTGGAAATTTTACTTTTTTTTTCTTATTTTGTTTGTTTTGGAATTTTACTTATGAGTGTGTGATAATATGATGAAGAATAGACAAACGTCTTCCCACCCTTCATCGGGTGGGTCGTCATCGTCGTCCACATCGTTACCCGTACCTCATCAACAACAATCACCACCACAGCAGCAACAACAAAACAAAGGGCCAGGCAAATTATTGCCCCCACCAAATAAAAACGATGTGAAACACTGGAGCACTAAACTTCAGGAAACGGTCGTGTCTATCCCTCCGGAGACTGGCAATAATAATTCAATTATCATTAAGGGGGGTGCTGATACCGGACATTTCTGTTATCTTGGAGAAGTGCGACATGACCAGGTAACATACCATTCGGGGAAATTGCGACCTGATGATCTCATTTTAGAGATTCAAGGACAAAAGGTGTCTGGATATACTCTGAGGGATGTCAACATCTGGCTGAAACAAGTCAGTCAGAATGGGGCACCTGTGTTGATGAAAACTCTGCGTTCAGGTGAGTGATGCGTAATTGTCTTCATTTTCCATGGTGGTAGTACGTGTTATGTTTCTTTTTGTACTCTTTATTCATTACCACTCAAGTTAAATTAATTGGTTGACTTGACAATGATTTCTACTGAAAAACAAAATAACAAAAAAAAAAAAACACAGTTAAAGAAAATCACATTTAGTAAGAACAACTTAGTAAGAAGAGTGAAGAAGACTTACCCTTCAAAATTATTTATTTTCTTTATGACGACAATATACAAGTTGATCGATTAATTTAAAAAAACGCAAGTAGTACTATTTGAAATAAAATGATGTTTATTTAAATTTAATATTGTTTGAAGTTGAACTAACTAAAAATCTATTCGTCTTTCTTTGCTGTTTATCACTCAGCTTCTGAAGAATTTAGCAACCAATAAATTTTATTAGAAATACCTTGCCTTTCAGTAGTTACCAATTTCAGATTCTGAAAAAATAAGTCTGTGGAAAAATTGATTCAACTAAAATTTCAAATTGACTTTTTCTTTGACGCTAAAAAATTACTGAATTGTATATTTTTGCAATTTACTGCTTATCTTTTTCTCTGCAATTTTTACTTCAAACTAATTATCATCATTTGTCGACAATCTACAACATATTTTGTATGTTTTCATCGCGTAATGGATGCAAAGTAGAAAATGTAAATATCTAGTTTGGGCTAACAAACAAAAAACCCCCAAAAAACATCTTGTATTTACTCCACTTCCGCCGCACCCACTTTTCCTGCGGAAGAAACAAGTGGACACATTTTAATTCCTCCGACAACACACTGAAGAATTCACATAATTTCTTCATTGACTTTTCTTTTTAATCTCTTTTAATTTAAAGTAGAATAGATAAAGACAAACTTATAATCCGCGTGTTTATTATCAGCATTCTCGTCTGGTGTTTTTACATTTTTTATTCGTTGATAATCAATGAATTAAAGCAGGAAGCATTTTTTTCATTTATGCTAATTAATTCATTCACTTACTTTAGTGTTTTATTTCATGAACACTTAGTATTATTTGTCAAAGGAAAAGTTTTAAAATCGATTATCAGAGCGTAATAAAGACTGACAGTGACATGTCATGTCACCCGTCATGCATTGATTGTAGTTTTTTTTTTATTATTAATTATTATTATTTTTAGTTTTACTACAAAAAATAAAATGTAACCAGTTTCATCGTTTAAGTTAAGTATCTTAGTTTTAAGATAAAATTGAGTTTTTTTAAGTTTTTTTTTTTTCCAAAAAAAATTGAAAACATCTTTCGATAGAACGTAAAAATTACATGTGAAGTGACAATGACGCTCTCTAAAATCTTTTCAATTTATTAAATTTTAATTTTATTAAAAAAAATCTTAGTATGCCTTTTTGTCGCAACCTTATTTTCAGAAATCAAAAGCCTTTATTTTTTTTTTAATAGATCAAAAATGGATTTAAATTTATTAAATTTGCATAAGATATACTCGTCTTTTCTTACCATTCCCCCCACTTTTTTTTTTTTTTTTTTTTTTTTTTTTTACCACGAAATTTTTTTGTTTATTGTATTTTTATTTACTTTTGGTGTGCAATCATTGATACAGAGCAGTCGGAAATACACATGCCATTATCGCCCATTTATTGATTTTTTTTTTTTTTTTTTTTTTTTTTGAAGTTAGCGCTAGAGACGATAAAAAATATACCCTCCCCCCAAAAAAAAACCCTGATTTTTAATGAATAACTTAAAAATGAAGTGTTGGTGCAATTTGTGCAAGTAAAAAAAAAAATCTTTTATTTGGACAGTCTTTTCTTTGCCTTTTTTTAAAAGTGTTTAAATTCCAGGCTAGGAGGTCAAAATAGGACTGTTCAGTGTTCATCGACTGGAGTTTCTTTTTAGCTGAAGTACCTCCATGTTTTTTTGTTAATTCATTTTCATTTTTCTCTTTTTAGTATAGTATCTATTTTATTTTTCCATTATCATTTAGCAAGACTTAAGTAAGTATGTGTTTTTTTTTTTTTTTTTTCTGCACACGCGATTATCAATATTGAGCAGAAATATTTTTATTTTCTCACACAAGAAATTAAAATGTATGTATGTAGTTTTAGGATCAGATTTCCATTTCAGCATTTCTCTGTGTAGTACCCCCATTATAGAAACACATACCATAATTCAGTTAAAGAAAAAGACAGGGAAATTAAAATAATTATAAAAATTCTAATCTAGACATGTTTAGTTTCAAGTTTAACACTAACAAATAAAATTTAAAAAATATATCTACTCAGATCAGTCATCCTGCACAATATATAACTTGTTCTATTTGTCGGAAAATATTTTCACAACTTATGCTACCAATTTTTTTTTTTTTTTTTTTTTTTTGTAACAGTTTTTCGTATGAAAAGAAGTAAATCAACAAATTAATTTTTTTTATTAAATTAAAAAAACTGACGTTACCATATGGAAATAAAATTATCTTGGATACTTTCTTCCGTTATTTAAAATCGTTTTCTTTTCATTTTTTAGTCAATCTTTCTTTTATATTCTGTAGTTTGGGCACTACAGGATTTTCTTGAATAAAAAATCTTTCTTTATCTTTAAAATAAAAAAAGGTGTCGTTGAAGTTCAATTTTTTTTTTCTTTTTTTGTGTAACCGCCAGTACTCATCATCAAACTACAAAAATGGTTTATATCCTTTTAGTTTTCTACCACGTCCTTGCATAACGTAGGCGATTATGGCTCGCCACAACATCCTGTATTTTTTTTACTCTGAGTTTGACACTTCTATTTCTCTTTGATCTGGCATTCATTCATGCAAAAAACTCAAATTTAAAATAAAAGATGATGACTATATCGAATCTGTGTCGTGTCTGAAACTGAAACAATTTTGACATCGAATCAAGAAGTTTATTAAATTACAATAATTTTTTTGCAACACTGTCCTTCATTGTCATACAAAATTTCTCTCATTTCATTTTAAATTTTTAAACTACACATACCTTTTTATATTTCTTTTTAGTGATTTTTATTTTTGTAGTTTATTGTAACAAACATTTTTTTATTGACTTATTTTAATTTCATTCAATAATTTTTTAATTTCCACTTAAAAGCAAAACTAATAATTCTCCACTTTTTGTTGTTGTCGCTTACTGTTTTCTATGGGTGAAACTAAAAAATGTTTCACCTATCAAGCCTGTGTTATGAAACGACTGAAAAATCCTTTCATGTTACCGCGCGAGAAGCAGTAGTAAAATTCTAGTTTATTCCTTTTGTAATGAAAAATAATCTATTTCAACGGTTACCTTAAACAAAAAAGCACGAATAAAATAATAAAAACAAAAATTTTATCCGGATTGTTGCACTTCAAAATCTATCGCATATGAGTTCATGTTGATTAAAATAGCAGGTATGAAGAGAGATTTATTTTCATACACGCACGCATACTTCATAACTAACTTAGAATAATAATAATAAACAGCAAATCGAGTTCATCCGAAAATAAAATGTTTGTTAAAAAAAACTTAACAAGTAACATCTAAAGACGCAGTTGAGAAGGTAAAATCGAAATCTCTATTGCTTTTTTTCAATCATTATTTTGTCCTTCCTTGAAGAATTTGCATCGTTATTTTTTTAATTCATTCTCTTTGTTCTTTTTCCCAATGGGAGATCATTTTGTTCAGTTTGACCCGAGCAAAAAGATTTTAAATGAATGTCAGTGCAGAGACAATTTTTCTTTAATACTACAATGAATTCATAGAGAACAACTAAGGTATTTTTACTGATCTCTTTGTATTATTGTTATTCTAATAATGGAATTTTTGTATTTTGTTATTTTCCAGTAGAGAATGCATTTTCCTGTTACTAGATAATCATTTAGCAAGAGGAAGTAGTAGAGAAAGAAAGATGTGTCCATGGTTACAATGTAAATCTTACAATCTTCTGCTGCTTCTCTACTTGATTTAACTAGGGTTGTTGCAGATAGATAGCAGCTGTTTGTATTCCATTCTTGTCGGGTACAAAATTCTGTACAGTTGTTTGTTTGGGTCTGTCTTTCTAATGAAAACAATGCTCATTCTTCTCTTTGGTCGTAACAATGGCACTAAGAATGGATAACTTATTTTCTCTCACTTATACATTTACGTCATTGGAAGAACCATCAGTCTGTAACACTGTACTGTGTGTACAGTGTTGTACACATTCAGTTTGTTTTTTTTTTGTTGTTTTTTTTGTTTTTTTTTCAGTTTAAAAATCTAAGTTCGCTCATCAGATTAATTTTTTGTTTTACTGATATTTAAAATTGTCATTCAAATTTTTAAATGGATAAGAAGTTTTAAAAAAATTAAAAAGGTAAAGTTTTAAGTTAAGTTTTTAATTTTTTTCAAATTACAGTTGGCTTTTCATTTGATTTGTTTACTTTGTTCTGTACACTTGACTTTTAAAAGCTCGAAGCTAACATTTTTTAGCAATATTTTAATTTAATCATCTGTTATTATTTTGTGTTGATCACCCGTCTTCCCTTCAAATGAGACACAAATTAATTGAAGCGTGTCTGGACCTTGGGAATCAATCACCCAGATAGCACCTCCCCATTGCACTAATGGAGTAGGGTCAGTGGGTTCACCTACTGTAAAAACTGGTAGTTGTTGGACTGGGCAGTTTCTGAACACGCCCTTAAAAAGTACGTGAAGCCCCGCATTATCGTATTTTTGCCCTTACTACACACTACACAGGTGCCAAATGAATAACTAGCCTTGACTTTTTTTTTTCTTTTTTGATATTCCAACTACACTACAGAGCAGCACTTCCACGCATTGCACTAAAAAAGGATTGTAGGTTTGACAGAGGATATGGAGACTGGACACTTTTGGTCCCTGGGAACAAACTAAACCTGACTGTCACATTTAGAGGCGAATAAACAATACTCTTCTTCTTAGTTGATATTTAATTTATAAATTAAATTTTTAATCTCCCCAAAATTCAAAAATTATTCTGTTCGTGCGGTCTATTATTTGGA